AAGTACATGAGACCTCGAGCTGAAGTGTGGCGACCTGAGGTGTTTTTTATTATTATTTATGATTTTTATTATGATTACAATATGTAGGTAATATAAATTATATAATAGTACTTACTAATTAATGATATATAACAAGTAATGTAATGTAATGAAAATAGGTGATGGGTGCATCGATCTATAAACCAGAGACAATAAAAGCGGTGTGGAGTACGATGATNTTTATTATGATGACAATATTTAGGTAATATTTATTACATAATAATACCTACTAATTAATGATATATAACAAGTAATAATATAATAGGTGATGGGTGCATCGATCTATAAACCAGAAACAATAAAAGCGGTGTGGAGTACTATGATGCGGTTCTGGGATAATGCGTTTAAGACGGGGTTGTTGATGGAGAGACGGAATGACCAGTTGACGACGTGGATGTGGACGCATGTGCAGGACGAGATTATGGCCGTCTTTAAGAGACATCCCGATGTGCTTAGAAAGGTTAATTAATTAATTAATTATTATTGTTATTTAGTGTTTTTGATTATTTTTATATAGTATTATTTATTGATGTTTATTGTTATTTATTTGTTTAGTACTGAAATGATCAGTTTATTATTATTGAAATGAAGTGATCAAAAAATAATATTATTTATTGTTATTGTTGTTATGATTATTGTTATTTAGTATTATTTATTGTTATTTATTGATATTTATTAATTTTATTATTATGTTATTTTAATGTGTGTATGATTTGAGGCACCGGTATTGGAACGTGACATTCGACACGGAAGGATCACGCCCGGATGGGCTGCGGAATCGCTGTTGCGCACCTTCTTCGGTCTATAGAATTGCTGTAGATTTATTGTATAAGAGAAATTATTTATGAAGATGTGATTATTATTATTATTATTATTATTATTATTATTATTAATATTATTGTATTATCGATATTATTAATATTATTGTTATTACTATCGATAACGATCATTTAAATGCGTGTAGCGAGTTTTCGTAATTGCGCTGTAAAAAAGGATCAATCAACAACGACGACGTTCTGCGGACGACACGAAAATAACGCGAGCGATTTAGTAGTTTGTAGTTTGTAGTTTGGTTTTACGGTTTTGATTCTGAGATTGTACTATAACTAGTGGGGTAGCGTTCCCCGGCAGCGTGCACGCGCTATAGCGTTAGCGGGCGGGGCTTGCGTACCGAACTGAATTGGTTTAGTTTTGTCTTTTTGTACTTTTTTTGTAGTTTGCACTTTGTAGTTTGTATTTTTTGAAATTTTTCAGTGCCTTCTCACTTTTTAGTTGAATTTGTTATTGTTATTATTAATTAATAATGATTGATTATTAATGTTAACACAATTCGAGATGTGTGATGTTTCCGTTGCTTCGGTGATTCGATGTGATTTGAAAGGTGTGTGATAAAACTATTGTATTAAGTGTGCTTAGAGTGCAAACAGCAAAATTTGGAGGTTGGATCCTCGCTGTGATAGTAGTATACCTGTGGTATAAAATTTTGAAATTTCAAAATTTTGTTTGGCCATATCCTCGCAGATATCTGTGTATTTTTATGATATTTATTATTGCGTGTACGTGCATATTATTATTATTATTGTTTTGAATCAATATGTAAACTTTGGTATGTTTTTAATAGCGGGTTTTA